TTGCGCCCATGTCTGGTTGTCTCGTTTGCTCAAATAATAACACAGAAATCTGAATCAGTATCGTTATACATAACACATATGTTTTGTAACACACATTGTTTTAGATATAAGTTTAATCACACCGAAAAAAATAGGTACCTATCAGATAGTAAGACTCAAAAATAAAAATCTATCAACAGTTATGGCTATATATCGCTAAAAAAAAAACGGTAATGCTTATGACAAATAAGTTCAATTCGATTGTGTAAAAATCACTCAGTCGTCATATTATACTGGTGTACACATAGATTCGACTGATTTTAGGAAGTAGCAAGACTGGCCAAGCGTCATATAGTATACCTATATTAGTATTACGTCGATAAAATATGCAATGCATAGGTATTTGATGATTAAATTGTACAAGTTAAAACTATTTTATTTTACATTTTCTTAAAACTGTACAATTTTTAAAAATATTAACTACTATACAGAAAATACTACCTATACTAAAATATATTGACTACCTACTCGAGTACAAGATATAATCATTCTAACTACACAGATGAATCTACAAAAAAATCAATATTTTTCAATTAGATCGCACTCAGTAGGTATAGGTATCAAAAAAAGTTCTTTGTTATTAATCACATTTTAAGGTTAAGCCGATATCAGCCCTAAAGACGACCGTTCAGAAAATACCATTTGTTGGCAGATAAGCTGTTGCATATAGAATATACGTTTTGGAATATAATAAATAATATTGTATCTACTATACGGTATTCGGTCAAATAACCAAAACAAAATAATTTTTTCTTTCAATTATTTTACATCGGTATTGATTTATGAGTTGATAATAATATAGTATAATATTATACGCATAATCAAAGCTCAGATCCGCCTTCTGTGTATATAATATGACGTGTGAAGTGTGTAATGTAATATCAGTTCATGGCTCGGAACTTAATAAAATCCATATTTGTAAAAAAAATTAGGATGTATAGAAAATCTCTAAAAACTCAATACAAATGTGGTTTAGGATAATATAGGATATGTTGTAGGGATTTGTTTACATATTTTGTTGGAACAATTGATTTTCAAATGTTCTAAGTCTTTATTCCTATTAAAATATTCAATAATTGAATAAAATTGGTTTGAGATTGATTTAGGTTATTCACAAACATCCAAAAACATTAAGGTCCCTCCAAACCCTGTAAAATGTTCATTAAAAGCATAAGTCAGCTTAGAGATTAACAAAAGTTAAGGTACTTCTTTAGTAAACAGTAGTTCGATTTAAAAAAATTAAAGATTTAATAAAAAGTTTACTTCACATCAGTCAAAGCATATATATTATTCAATATTTTCAATAATTTTTAATATATTCAATATAAAAAATTGATATAATTTCAAGCATTTAAGTGTTATTTATCCCCTCAATAATTCTTTAAAATATAAAAAGTGCTACTACCTATGCAAAGCAATCTTGTTTGTACATTCAAACATCTTTACATATTTTAAATCGGACCTTTAGAAGTACATACCTTGTTGTCAGGCATAAACCTATTTCACGTCCACATATTGATTTTGAATATTTTGATCTAATGATTAAACCACGTGTGCATGTGGATGAATAATATTACGTATGATGCGGATGTTTGATGGACAGTAGTGAGTACACACACACTAATGATCATTTATTACACACAAAGACGAGCAGTGACTGCAAAGGACGAAAGGATTGCCTAAACACAGCTCCTTAAAAGTGACTCGTTTGCAGGGGCCTTCATTTCAAAACTTCAGCTGACTGCACAAAAATTGCACACCGTAAAATGAGTATCATTGTACAGGCGTCTGCCGTCCATCACAGATCAAAAAAAGTAATAGAAAAAATAAATTAAAACGTTTCTGTGATACCTGTGAATCTATGTTTACTACCTACAACAACATTTTAAAATGTCTATTTATTCCGTATTTGAATTGTTATTATTTGTAGACTCGTCTATTTAGATAAAAATAAATTTTTTTGTAAAAATAACGATTATTTTAAATTTAGATATTTTCTGTATGGATTATTTTACCGTTATATATATTTTAACCTTTGATATATTTTGGTCCTTTGATATTTTAACCTGGAACCATACTATACAAACTCGTAAATTCATTATGGTGAAATAATGGTATTTAATTTAATGAGTTTGGAATCAAGAGTTATTCTAATTTCGTGTGAATTAAAATTGTTTATAGGGTATATATAGGTGCAAGTATTACACAAAACCCACATTATTATATTATATCTATATATATATGGAAGGACAGGTGTTATGAATTCTACTACCGTGTGTCCGTCACGTCTGTGATCAAACTTCCGCCTTTTGTTACGACCGATTATTGAACCTCGTCCAATAACCTTTAACCGATATTAATCGACAACACAATTAATCCTATAAGAGGTGACTTGCAACAAACAATGGTTAAACACGCTATATTTTTACACAATATATTATAGAATAAAAGACTCTTTTTTCTTAACAAATACTACCGACTATTTAAAAAATAAATGTCGAAGTTTTAAAACTTAACACTGTTTAAATTATTAAAAGATATTATATAATATATACTGATTACTAAAACTAAGTACCAACCATAAAATAAAGGCTTTAAACGGATTAGTATTCGTTTTTAATTTATTCATTTGGGTGCCTACTTACTGATATGCATAACGTAATATTTGCATAGGTATGGTCTTAGATGTAAGATATTATATTTAATCCAGATGACATTTTTATATAATGTGTATAAGTATTAAAATGCGTGGGTAATCAAATCATACCTACAACACATTTTTTTCATGGTCAAATTACAATATATTAAAATATAGAGCTACCAAGCGAGTTATTATGTACTTATAAAGAACATTGAAAAAATGTAATAGCTAGTTTTTTCCATACACGACCAAAAACAATTTGTACTAAAACGAAAAAAAATTAGAATTAATATTACTGAAATTGTTAAGCTACGTGCATCTAAAACTTGGCAAAATCAATTGATACCGAGGCCGTTGAGTCGTGAACAAATATTTTGCAAACTGCAATGTAATACCTACACGGTGGCGGCAGCAAGATTGACGTAGGCACCTATAATACTATAATAACTAGCGGCTATCTGCGGGATACGTTTGTCTAAAAATCAAATTAACCCGAGATTAAATCGCAAAAAACCATATTTAGAAGTCAGCGATCAACCGGTGTTTGGCGAGGAACGTAAATATAATATACCTACTCGTGCACGTCATAATACATAGTAAGAGTGGTCCACCGACACGCGCCATTCCATTGGAGGCGTTTTATTCATATATTATATTAATCTATGGCACGAGGTGTTCCCTAAAGTGCACATTTGTAATGAGATACTTAACAACAGTACTCGGGTGTTCAAGATACAAAACGTCACTTTAAAAAAAAAGTGTGAGATGTGAATATAGATATTTTGTAAGTCATAATATTGTAGGTACACACGTCTCACGAATAGTACGAAAATTATTAATGTTTTCTTATGTTTGAGAAAAATGTAGTAAAACGTACGTATAATAATACATTATACTATAACCGAGTGTACCTACATAATGATATTTGCAACAATCTTGCAGCGAGATATTATGATTTCAATCTTATGATATTTTGTAAACTACAGAACATGCTCACAATATAATATTACACTAATACATAGTACGCGTGCAATTGAATTATTGCCATTTCGTATCGCAACCAGGCGGCATGTATAGAGAGGATAAAAGATGCATTCAACTCGTCACCGCGAGTGGGTGTGATTATTCAAATAATCATAGTCATCAATCTTCCACTGTTTAGTCTGTAAAAAATTTTAAAAGTTTAGAGACGCAGTATGTAAATAGATAGGTACATATTAAATAGGTACACAGGCTAGTGCGGACCTGAATTTCTGGGGGGGGGGGGTCCAAAAATATTTTTGGGCACCCTTTCATAACAAGACAATTTGTACCTACATATTAATCATCAGTGATACCTACATGGCTACAAAATAACCTAGCCTAACTATTATAGTACCAAGTTATATTATATTTCCTTGGATCTAATATCTATTTCCAAGATAATTATTGCAATGTTTATTTATTATTAATTGTACTTTTGTTGCCCAAAACATATAAAGGCGTTTGATCATAAAAATTATTCCAAATTTAAAACATTTTAAGTTTTATTATTTATTTTATCGCGATTTGCGGCATTAACACGATTTTTATTTTAGAAAAAAAATCCTTTTATTCTAGTAACATCAGTTAAAATAAACAGACCCCCTCCCCCTAAGATCTAGGATTTGTACAATTTAGGGCACACCCTGCACCTTCCGTGCCTATGCATACATATATACCTTCCTACATCTCAGAAATCATGATACCTTAATGCAGCAGCAGTATATATATTAGTTTTTGCAGTTGATCGCCGGTCGTCTCCTTCTACATCATTCATATTAATGATAAAAATAATAATAATACATAATATTATAATGTCACACCTGCAGTGGCAATAATGACGATTTAATAATATTATGATATGTGACGTAATCGTGGACACTTGTATTATTTCGACTGCAGTCGTGTACCAATGTGTGGCATACATAATTATATTATAAACGTAGGTACCTACCTATATATTGTACTGGCGATAATAGTATTAAGCGGAATTATAATAATAATAATGTATAATATTGACCGGGATATAAAAAACAACGAAAAAAACCTCGTGTGGGCAGCGTGCGTTCGTGATGTCGCCGACGATCGGCAGAGGCTGCGAGGCGGCGGCTGACGAACAGGCGAAATAATAGTAATAATAATATAATAATAATAATAATATTTTAACAATATCATATTATTATTATAGACGTGCCCCGCCGCCCGAGCGTGGGGGAAACGGCCACGGCACGGCGGCGGCGATTGCGAATGTTCTAAAAATCGTATTTTGTAGTTAGTCGCGTTATCTGCAGCGATTCGTTTATAACGATTTTCACTGCACAGTGAAATGACGATTTTATTGAAATTAATATTAAGTACGCCGCGGCTACTCGAGTGCTCTAAAATTGATCACACGACGTTTGTGTAACAATTTATTTTTGTGATATTATATACCAGTAGCCCGATCGGTGGTTTTTTTTTAATGGTTTTATTTTTATGTTTTTTCCTAATACCTAAATATTGTTAATATTATTTTACACGTGTGCGAGTCTCGAGGCAGTTTCAAAATTCGAAGAGCCGTCCACCGCCGCCCTTGGACTGAAACCGTTGATCGCAAAATTAAATAGATTATTATACATATACCTATCTAAGTAAGTCCTGTCGTTTAAAAAAAAATCATAGCTACCTGCATTGAGCAAATATCGTTTTTATTTTCTTCGTATAATATACCTAACAACCTGCAGCAAATACAAATTGTATGGTACTGTTAGACTTCCATTATATTTAATAATTATTATAATAAATTGATATAAACAATATACCTTATAAGTTATAGGTAAGTAAACTGTACAGCTAAGTAAAATTTGGTCAGTAATTAAGTTTGCAATGTTGTTTTAGACAATATAATATAGAATATGTTAATATCACACAGTGCACCTATATCATCTGTATACGATGGACTTGTCGTATTGTGTTCAATGACAACAAAGGCGATAATACATCTAAAGTATATGTTTAGGTATTAATATTATTAATTGAGTAAACTTTTTTAAAATACGACATAAAACTTACAATATTAAAAATAAATATCATGTGATATATGATTTAGTAAAAATAAATTAGGTAGATAGTGTATACAAACATTCGGTTGGTTCCTCAAAATACATCAAATTTTAGATTCTGAGCGGAGCGACGAATATATTGATTTTACACGGGTGCGTGTGTTTTTTAATCTTTTTTATTGTGTGTTTGAAAAGTCTTTTTCTAGTTGAAAAATGCTTCGACTTTCTACATTAAAGGTGTTTAGATAGCGAATCGGATCTAGTTGATACATTGGGAAATGTGAAGTCACAAATGCATTTCACAATTCTAGTATTTTTTTAAATAATCGAGAAAAACGAACATTTTGATGCAAAACCTTAATAACCTTATAGATACTTGCAATTTTAACCCAAATGTTCATATTAGTATTTTTTATACGTGAAAACATTTTCGAAATATCTTAATACTTTTTGAGCTTAGTATTTTCGTTTACTATTGTAGGTTTCATGTCAATAAAACATTTTTACTATTTAATTTTTACTCCGTCGAAAACCTTGAAAATGTAATACAAGGTTCTTCATAATATGTTATTCAATTAAAAACTAAAAAATATCGAAAATACAGTCACAATATTTTTTTATACGCATTTGAAATTAATGTTTTGACAAAATTCGCCTTCATAATCACGAATATTTGCAAATTATGTGGTAGTTAAAACTGAATACATGTTATAATATTCGAACCTATAAGATTTGAACATTTATTTCCTCATAAGTTGATTAAAAAATAAGGTTAAGCGTAGTCCCAAAAACTTTTTTTGTGAGCGTCTGAAGTTTAAGGTTTGACGAAATTGTATATATAATAACGATTTCTCATCAAACGATTTTTTTAATAAGTTGTATTTCAAAATCGAATAACCATGGATACTTGAAACCAAAAATAATGTCTATACTATTTTCTATGCATGACATAATTTATTTCCAAAATATTTTGACTCTTACCATTTACCTAGCTAAACATATTTGACATTATTGATTTTGTTTAGTTATTTTTTATACATTTCGTTAAAAATGTTTTCCAGTTGTAAAACTTGAAAAATTAGTACAACGTTCTCATAAGTTGTTTTTATAACTGTTTAAAAATTGTTAAGACACATAGGCGTTATTTTAGAAACATTTTAAGTTTAAATTCAATAAAACTAGTAAAATGGTTCAAGTGTGTCATAGGTATATTCAATACATAATATTGTGATTTATTTAAAATATAGAATACATTTTTTAAATAATAAATTAAGTTTTTAACTATTTTTAAACATGTAAAACATATTAAATATATGGTAAAATGATTCTATCAAAAATACATGTTCTTTTAATTCATTTAAGTTTTCAAAAATTAAGTTGAACATACGATTTTGTTTAATAATATTTATGTTTCACCTATTTAATATACTTACACAATACACATTTATTTATGACATAGTTTTTTTTTTTAAATAACCTTTTGAATGATATAATCTCAAAACTTAGATTTATCCATCATAATATTTCGTTTTATATATATATGAACCGGTTCGCATGATTTCGACAAATAAGGAAATAGGATTCACCTTTAACTTTTCGTTGATCAATACCAAATTACCAAATGTTTAGAAGACGAAGACTTTCGAATCTCGCAAGTAAAACCTATATTTATATTAGCTGATATAATAAAAGGGGTGTGTAATGAAATTATTTTACCATTTCATATTACCTGTAGATTTGCAGGACGTATGATCATAATTATTATTATCTTCCTAGTATTCTTCCAGGTTTTCTAACGTTCAACATTGTACTTATTTTTTTTCAGCATATCATTTAAATAACTTAGTAATGTATAATATACATTTGTTTACTGAAAGAAATAATTTAACGTTAGTTTTAAAAAATAGTTGAAATACTCTCATTAGTAATGTATTCCGTTGTTATAATAATAGTATATTGTTATTATATAATTTTATCAAAATTAAACTGTGTTATTTTTGAGTAGTCTAAATGTTTGTATTACTATTATTTTTACGTCACAAACAGTTACCAACTTTTAAAATATACATTGACATGAACTATAAATAATTATAAATACCATATTGAATTTAAAACTTCTGAATAATATTTTACAGTTTTTGATCGTGGTTAAAAGCTGGTACCTATTATTATTTATTTAAGGCTATAGGTACTACAGCAATAATTTCAATTTCAATGAAACCTTTGAAACTGTTCATTAGTGAAATAAATACGGTTGAATGTTTGATATTGAATAAGTATACTTGAGTATAAACATTTTATTGTTTAAAATTTCAATAGACGCGAACAAGTATATTTTAAATCTACAGAGTGCAGAATATAAAAGTCCCTAAGACTTATATTTTTTGAATTAAAATACATCTAAAATTCTTAGAGTAAAAATTGTTATTTGACGTTTAAATATCAAATTTTGTCAAAATTAGAATATGTTAGAATTACAAACAGCTAAAAAAGTTGTGGTAATGTGAACTTAATATCCATTTAAATTACTTGTAGTACAACTTACGAGACACTTACCGTTTAAATTTAAGATACTTCAATACTTTGTATTAGGTTTTCAAGCTTTTTACCCCTATAAAAAAGACTTTTAAGTTTTAGAATAAAATTAGTTAAAATATTTGGAAAAATTCATTGTGTATAGAAAAAGATGTTTTAATTTACAGTGTATAATGTTTAAATTTTTGACGGTTAATATTTTTTGATTTCTGACAAAATAACAATAATTGTTTACATATAGATACAATTTTTTTTTAAAGCATATAAAGTTCAATATTACGAAATTCATCAAAACCATGAAAATGTGTAGATTATTTTGTAGTTCAAAAATTTTAAAATTGTATTCTATAGGTTTAAACACATATTTAATACAAAAGTCCTAATAAGTTTCCTTGCTGAAATTAAAGAAAAAAAGTTAAACGAAGTCACTATAATTTTTGTAGCGTTTAAACTGTTTAAAGAAGACATTTTGTCGATACATTTTGTTTTCAAACTAGATTCAATTTCCTACCAAAAATCACCGTCAAATATTGAAGATTGAAGCATTTTTACTGCTCCAAAAAGGTGATGACTGACACACAAAAAAACACACACACATCACTATAAATCGAATACAATCATTGGCTTATCGCTTCGCTAAGAATCTAAAAAATATTAACCAACAAACAAAATATAGTTGTTTAAAATAAAGTGTTTGTCTTTTACATAATGAAAAAAAAAATTTTCTCAAAAAAGTTTAGCTTCCGTTGATTTTACAATAAACAGATAAGCAATAATGGTATATAAGTACCTACTCAGTGCGGGTAAAATTATGTTTATGCGGGTTGTCAATAAAATGCCATTGTATTGATAACAAACAAATTATTTTTTTCGAAATCAAAATTTTTCATTTGCATTGTTCTATACAGTGGGGTCAATGTGTGTGGCTTCCAAAGCAATGCTGTTTCAATTAACCATCGTTTATAATATATGACTGTTGTCAATTCATTTTTCTGGTTGGGCTGAAAAAAACTTAATATATTATGCTGCATAAAATAATATAAAATATAGTGTCCGGAGAAGAGTCGTATGACTCATTCGCTAGTGATTCGGCCCTTATAATATGTTGCTAGCGGGGTTTCAATAATATCTGAGGCAACGAATTTAATTACAACAAAATAACAAAATCGATTTTGACAAAAACTGGTTTTGCTTCAAAATTCCCGTTTTTCCAAGTAAATACTTGGCATTTTTCACTTAATTCACTAGATTAACTTTCCCAGAAAAGATATTTATGTCAAAGATTTAATTATTTTTCTTGCTCCAAAAGGCGACAACAGAATCAAAAATAAATAAAATGATAAAAAATACCTCTCGCACCAAAATTGTTAAATCAATACATTCATCGATCCGCTCAAAATCTAAAATAAATCGTAAACTTTATTCAACAATTATTGGCATAATGAGTATTTTAAATTCGTATAAGATCCATTATTATTTATTTATTTTTGATTACATTGAATAGAGTACCTCATATCATAAAGTATACTTTAATATTTATACAAAACATTTTATTGACTTAATAGTATGAATAGCAAACAATATTTGTTGCAAACATTTTACTCGTAAAGTCATAATTAATTTTTGGATTTAAATTAATTTTTCACGTGCGTGTGTCGAGATATTATTTTCGCGTATAAATAAATATATGATATCAAAAAATTAATCAACAACATATTATTATAACATAAGTTGAAGTCTTAAAAAAAGTGAAAGTACTGGAATCCGGCAACAATTATTGTCGTTAATACTATATACCTAATGTGTACCTGATATAACTTATTTATATTTATATTTTCTAGGATTATAAGATGGTACTGTTTCGGAGTAGAAACTCTGTTCGAAACGAAGATGTTATACCAGATATATCGGCTCCAATACTTCTAAGAATGACAGCTATCAGAAACAGTATGCGCGCGGAACATCAATTTATTGGAGATAAACACAGCAGTCTTTATGGCGTACAACAAGGTAAATTGATTGCAACTATATAATCCTATTACGCGTCAATTTTATTCGACAACATTTGAATTTATTCGACGATAAAATAATATGATTATTTAGTAGGAAAATATAATAATAAAAGTCCACAGAACAAACGCGTATTGTGTGTAAGCCACATATAATACGAGTGTTATGTGTCATAGGTGGTATTTCATATATTTTTTTTCTGTTATTGCCCTGTTTAGGTAGGTAGGTACTTGGAATAAAAATATAATAATATGACGAAAAGACGATCGCGTTTTTTGTAGCCTTTAAAAAAGAATTTACTCCCTGAGTCGTGCGTGTTTTTCTTTTACCCGCCAAGGTTGAAAACTGCGAAATATCACGTTTGCTATAATCACATGTGTGAGAAACCCCTCCACTTTGGATATAATGCTGTTCAAATAATATATACATACCCTGATGAGGGGGGCGGAGCGTCAGTGTTTGAGCTTTCGGCGTTTTGAATGGAATGCCTGCACGTGCCGCTAAAGGCGAATTTATTTGAACACAATTATTATGCTCTTTGTATACTCACTGGATGTGCAATTGAATGTGAATAGATCAAAAGATGGATAATAATATCGATGACAACTGTTGAAGCCCGGCTTTCGTAATTGTTATATTATTACGACACACAATGAGTGTTGCAAAAATATTAATGTCCTTATAACATACAAATATTTATCATCAAACAATTATTTCGTTTCTACGTGGTTCGTTATTTTGGATAAAAATCCTAATTTTCAATCATGTTTTTAACGATTGTGGGTATTTGTAGAAATAATATATGTAGGTAAAGTACCTATACAATATAGGTATGATGGGTATATATATTATATAAGGATATATTACAGTTTACGACCGTACAAAATACAACAAGTATAGTTGAAGTGTTGAAGCATAGTGAAGTACCTATACGACGACATCGTTTTCTCGTGTCCGGTCTAGTACCCAAATACAGAATGTATTTTTTTATTTATTTCATTCAATATGAAAATTGAACTAACATCTGCAGTAATCGTACAATTTTTTAATGATTGCTCAACACGTGCACTTTTACAGAGTTAATTTTCAAAATAATATTTACACATAATTTTAAGAAGTTTTTCGCATACTTAAATTTTAAATACTTATGTCGTTATGTGTACTATAATTTTATAACAGTAGTTATTTTTTCCGTAGTTCATACATGTATTTGAATTTGATAATTAATGATTGTGAAGGCGGAAGTCTGGTAGTTAATGTAAATTTTATTTTCTTATACTATGTCTTAATTTTTCTTATACGTGTTACATTATTGTGTCAATTAGATGAAAAACTCTTCATATTTGTGATTTTTAACACATTACTTAATAGATACTAATATTAAAAAAACAGTAAGCTTCAGAAAAATATTTAAATAAATCTTTTGTACGTGGAATACTGCCTTTTATAAAATCTCCTGTGACAGGTGCGCATTTCTATTTTTTGTAGTGCACAATAAGTGTGTGTCGTAGTGCACACAAAAAAGAGCACTGATTTATACTCATATATTAGGTACCTACTATAGTAATATTAAGTAGTAATATCCAAACAATGATGTTTTCGTATATAACGTTAATACTAAATAATGTGTTCAATATAGTCAACATTATTTAAATCATTATATAATATAGATAATTTCGTAATTGCAGTGTACAGAGTATAGCAGTTGAAATGTAATATTATTGAGAAATATCAGCTGTACCTTTTAACCTATTCAATAATCTCAGTTTACAATAATTTACTAAAATACGTTATTCTTCGGTGGCCAATAGGTAAGGTTAAGCTATACGTGTAATCTAATGAAAATAATTGTAAATAATTATTATTATTTCACTTAATACTCTTAATGTGTATTTACATTATTATATATGTAGTAAGTATAGGTATGTATATTTTAAAATGTTAAAATATTATTATATTAGGTAATTTAATATACATGTGGTACATTTCAATTATCAATATACCTACAGAGAAATGATCAACTTTTATTTAATTTGTAAATTTATATAAATGTGTTTGATTCATGACCGGAGGAAGAAGTGGATCGTGACTGAAGAGTGCCTCTCTCTCTCTCTCTCTCTCTCTCTCTCTCTCTCTCTCTCTTCTAATTCAATTTATTTGTCAGTGCAATGTCCTATTAAATAACAGTATCTTAACATTCATAATATTTGTGTATAGATTATACATAATATACCTTTTCATACTTATTTAAGTTTGTAAAAAAAATCATGGTCTGTCAATACAAATAATGACTAGGTATAGATATCATGTAATAATACATAATATGTGCAGTTCATATATCAATAATTATTAATTTTCCATTTTTTTTTTTTTTTTTATACTTGATAATAACAACATATTCCATCTTATTATGTATTATGTTCGTACTCAGTAATTATAACGAAATAATTATTACTTATTAGAACATGAAAAATGTTCTAGTAAGTGTTCCAACATTTCGCTGCTCAATATCAAATTTCTTTTTTTTGCCTTCTCCCTGATCCACAATTATAAATGTAAATTTATTTTATATATGTGTATTTTATATAGTTAAATAATAAAAATAAATACATTTACTATCAATAAGAACATGTTCACAGCCTTCATAACTCTGTAGACACTCAGTGCATTTTATATTTTCGTCGTTAAATATTCGGTGCGAGTATCATATTAACGCGATTAATAAAAAAAAGTTTTCCAACAATATCAATTGTTTAAAAAAATGATAAATGCCGGAGAGTAACTTCCAAATGTGTCTATGATCTCTGTGTATAAACCTATACAGAGCAATTCGTTGTTTGAACATGCTTAAATTCTGAATTTATACAAACTTTGTTTTTGGAATATATATATATTATTTAGTATGCTTTGAGTTAAGGGATAATTCGATACCGATATTTCTATGCCATTTAAGAACCAAGCGATCACTCAGATTTTTCATATATTTGGATTTTACAAATCAATGTGCACCCACTATACTCGTACTTAACACATCCAACTATACGATGAATTCAGGGGTGAGTGTTCACCCCCCCCCCCCCCCCCCCGAAAAATAAAAATATGAATTAACAAAAGTTGACCCTAGTATAATATATACGTGGAACTTGATTAGGCTATGTCTGAAGATAGAAACCCACCGAAAAAATGTCCAGGCACGCCACTGGATGAACTCAAAAAAACCGTATCGTAGACATACTGTGACACAGTACGAGGAACTTGTGGTTTGCGAATAATATACACAACTGACTGATGTGCGTCTTACCTTGACGCGCCGTATTCGGCTACGAACACTGGAAAAACTGGTGACGCGTTTCGTCGAGCCGGGAGTGCAGATTATGCTCGATGACTCGAATCTCGGGGTTAGATTAGTATTTATTCAGGTTAATAAAAAATAAATTCGACTCGTGTATTTTTTGAGTAATAAACCTACCCTCAAATACATGTTAAAATCACTACGAAGAGCAAGCTCGAGACTCGGCTGTAATAATATATTCTATATCTATTTGGCTAATTGTGTATCTCGTTTCGCCGAATTTTCATCACACTGCACTTTATACCTACTCACTGGGAAACGGTTCGAACGATGGAGTGAAAATGGTTCGATCAAAAGTCATTGAGAATATCGCGGAGAAAACAGTCGGAGGCCGCCGTTTTTCATCAAGACGAGCAGCGGTAATTATGATAATAATACGCCCACTTGCAATAATGCAATTACGTAATGCGGAATTATCCGGAATTATATCTGCTGCTTCGGCGGTAAAGTTTCGAGGCGACTTCACACTCCTCCCTATTAAGGGACTTCACACTCTTCCGCTTTCACCACAATTACAGTGCAGTCGTGTCGTGTATTTGGAAATAATATTTAAATTTTTAATATAACATCTGACAAAAACGAATAATTTATTAATTTTTAAAAAATTTCTATGAATTACACAACGATCTTTTCCGGAAATCACGGATAACGGTGCAGCGCGAAGTCGCCTTAAATCGCCATCAACCACAGTCCACCGTGTGCGCTGTGTACTCGGTAACCGCGGTATATGATATTTCGTCGTCGGTCAATGTTAATGTGAAACGGTTGTCACCGTTCTTCACTTGGCGTTCGCCACAGTGGTCCAATTTTCAACAGTTCTCGACCAACCCGTTCTCAAGTCACCGCGAGTCTGTTAAGACGTGTTATGCAGCGTGAAAGTCGTGTACCTACCTAAGGCCTTTTTCTAGACACATCCGTCGTAACGTTTGAATGTTAGCAAAATATGTATAATACTGATGTAGTGGTTTGCAGTGCGACTGAATTCCAGCCGAACGAGTCTTTTACGTTAATATATAATAGTAGGTATATATATAAATTTAAAAAAATATAATATGTTGTTGATATATTATTATTATATGGCCATCAATTTTTATGATCAATATAGTATTATACTTGCGAGTCTCGTCATTTCCAATCCGTTGAAACCCGTCGGTACAATTATTATATTTATGTGACTGTTACGTTTAGAATATAATAATATCAAATTGATAATTACCCACAATACCTAGGTAATATATTTATATGAATATTAAGCATATATTATCATGGATTATAGCTTATTTTATTGTGGGTACTTAGATGTAACGAAGTGTGTTAAGACTTAAAACACGCGCGAGCGTAATAAGTAGGATTATAAAGTATTAAAACCTTGGTGAAATAGTTGCCTTCAGATAATTAGATCAAAAATCACAATGTACGCACATAAAAATGTGTTATTAGAACCTTCCAGATACAGTAAGTTAAAAAAAGAAGTGATTGTAAGATGTAAGAATCCTTATTTTTGAGAACGAAACCTGAAGAAAACTTTTTATTAATTTAACGATCTTTAACCAAATCAAACATGCAATTTTTTATTTGGACTACAGCCTTGTCTAGTTTGTCTAACCATTGAAATTTTAAATCGAATCTGAAAACATTTGAAACATTG